AAAGAATTTAGTATTCACCAACCACACAATTAAGACTGAAAATAAACGTCTAAAAAGTTCTCTTATACATTAACAACCCACTGACATATATGGCCTATCACAAGGTATGTATATTTTAGGCTTCAGTCTAATGATTTAGAATTGAATCTAAATTTAAGTTTAGTAACTTCTTGATCTATGTATTATAATTAAAGAGCTGAAAAGCAGTAGTAAGGGTGGGATGACTAAAAGCTGAGAAAACAGCTGCAGTAGTCTCTGGGGCTTTATTAGGAAATGTCCTAATACTACAGAAGCAGAGTGTCCTACACACTTACCCATCCCTGAGAGTTCACAGCATTCTTGAAGAGTTTATTTTTTCTTTTTTTTTTTTGAGACAGAGTCTCACTCTATTGCCCTTGGTAGAGTGCTGTGGCATCACAGCTCACAGCGACCTCAAACTCTTGGGCTCAAGCCATCCTCTTGCCTTAGGCTCCCCAAGTAGCTGCAACTACAGGCATCTGCCACAACACTGAGCTCATTTTTCTATTTTTAGCAGAGATGGGGTCTTCTCTTGCTCTGACTGGTCTCAAACTCCTGAGCTCAAGGGATCTTCCCACTTCAACCTCCCAAAGGCTAGGATTACAGGCAATGAACCACCATGCCCAGCCAGCATTACTAAATAGTTCTATGACCAATGTTTACAATGATGACCAGAGTCATCACTAGAATATTAATTCAAGAGCTGCACAGTGTATAATAAATTTTAAGAAAATGTCTAAGAAAATGAATATAAAAAGCTCAATTGCATTAAAGTGTTACACATCAGTAATCTAAAAAATTCACCTATGTGGAAAGCTTCATTTCTAATAATGCCCGAGAAATATGGCTTAACAACAAATGGACATGATTCCAAGACTCTCTATATTACCTAAATAATCAAGCACAATAATTAGATTCAGTTCAGTTCAGTTCTAGATAACTATAGACTCAATCTTATCTCAAAAATAATGACTTTCACAAAAAAACCTCAATAATTTCCATATATAAACTTTATTCCATTTTACATTATACAAAAATTTAAACTTAAAGAAGAAAATGAAAATGTGGACCTTTTACAAGTCAAGGAAAAAGTTTTAGCATTTCAATTGGTCTGCAAAAAAATACATTAGAAGTACAAACTGTACTACAGTAGGTCTAAAAGAGGTTGTACACAGTCCTTTTGAAAAAGTTAAAACTGTTTTCAAGATTACTTTTTATATTTTAATTTACAGGCAATGACCAATTTACAAATATTTACATAAATCAAAAACAGCCTTAACAAACACTGTAGCTTTTTTAGCAGCCACCACTGTCTTTCATGTGGAAAAGAAATACTAAAAAAGATATTTTTACAAATATTAAGCTTTTATTTATAATAATTTTATTGTGTCTTATCTAAAACATTTTGTAGTGGCTTACTGCCTAAAAATTCCAGTTTAGATTACAATCCTATAATTGTATACAGAAAAAAAAATCTGATACTACAAACAGGATATAATCTTAACTTCGACCTCTCAGTTTCTTTGCTTCATGTCACAGGGACTTAGAGCAGGAAAACAGGAAGTAAAGCAAAAGTGCGCATTGCACTAATCTATCATGAAGCACAGATTTCATCTATTCAAAATGTCAATAATGAACTGATTCTTTAAAACAATTCACTAACTGCTCTAAGAGTTAGTGCTCATATTACAGTGCAAAATGTGTCATTTCAAAACAAAATGTAAAGCAATCTCAAGAGTACATCATAAGCATGTGAAGTACTAATGAAAAGCTAACCTAGACAGACCCAAAGCCTTGGTCTATCCCAGTGGGTCAAGTGAAGACTGAAGGCAATTGTCCAGTATTTCATGACTCTGCAGTGATTTCAATGAAATAAAAGATTTCATTTTGCTTCAAGTAACTGAATAACTGACTTGAATCTTCACTTTACTAGAACAGACTAAGACAAACTATCTACTGTAGGTTATACTTTAAGCATGTATGAATTAGACCCTTTCCAAAATTCCGCTCATCCTTATAGCATGTGGTACAATTAACTGAAGTTATATCAAAAACCCTTTATTTTGTTTAGGTAATTTCTCAAAATATATTTATCTGATCTCCTGAAAATGCATGCCATAATACTACTAATCATCAATGTAAACATTTTCAAAAATACAATTTTAAATCAAAGGGTTTTATTAGGAAATGTCATAACAAAATATGCAATCTTTATGTCTTTTTAAAAATAAAACATGAAAACAAGAATAATTAAAAAGAAACCATGATGGAGGTAAACAAAATGCATTATAATGTAACTATTGTTCTTTATTTCTTGGAAGCATTATTAAGAAATAGAGGCCAGTTATCTTTTCACGATAGCAGCTCTTAAAGGTAGTATGCTGTTCAAATCCCGTTTGTTTTTCAATCTGTGCCATGACTGAGAGAGAAAGAAAAATCATTCTTAAAACCTAAAATATATACAAAACGAAAGACTGAAAGAATTTAAAAGAATGCTAACAGTGGGTCTCTCTACATGATAAAACTCTGGATAATTTATTTTCTTCTTTGAGTTTTTACTTCCCAAGTGTTTTTTTTTTTTTTTTTTGACCAGGGTTAGGTTTGAACCTGCCACCTCCAGAATATGGGGCCAGTGCCCTACCCTTTTGAGCCACAGGCTCTGCCCTACTTTCCAAGTTTTTAACACAATAAAATCATTGCTTTTGTCATCAGAAATGAAAATGTTATTTCAAAACTCTATACCTCTGTGGTTCCAATTCATTAATAAAGAAATGGGCACAACTGACAATATTAACATTTATTCGCAGATTAAATAATTTTATCTAAAATAGCAAAGTAATTAAAACCTTTAGATTTGAGAAGATATGAGAGGGTTATTTCAATAAGTTCATTGACTGTCTTACATCTTCCCAAGTTTTTCAATTAAAAATGAAGGAGACAGCTTGGCGCCTGTGGCTCAAATGGCTAAGGCGCCAGCCACATATACCTAAGGCGGCAGGTTTGAATCCAGCCCAGCCCGCCAA